CCAATAGTATTTATCACAATTTATTTCTGGAAAATAATTTAAATCAACTGATTTCTGAACCCACACGGTATCGTGTAAATCAAACTTCTTCAATCTTAGATTTTCTTATAACAAACGACACACAACTATTATCAGATATATTATATCTTCCCCCAGTAGGAATTTCTGATCATGTTCTTATCTCGACAAACATTCAAATTAACCACCCACCTCACAAAAATTACGTATGGGTGGAAAAAGAAAAAATAAACTACGCAAGAGTGGGACAAACACTAACAACGTTGGAATGGAATACCTTTCTTGAAAATTTTTCTGTAAATGTACAGTGGAGCAATTTTGAAAGAGAAGTCAAAAATATATTAAAACTAAATACCAAAAAAATATTTACCAAAGTGGTTCCAGAAAAACCTTGGATTTCATGCGATATTTTAAAAGAAATTCGAAGAAAAAAATCTTTATGGCAAAAGTTTAAACGTAGCTCAGCAAATGAAGATTTCATAGCCCACAGAATCTTTTCAAACAATTTATCTCTAAAAATCAAATTGGCCAGGACACTTTACGAGCGGACACTTATTTCATCTGGAAACCCAAAAAAATTGTATAAGTATATTCGAAATGGTCTAAATTCCAAAGTAACAATTCCTTTAATTAGAAAAGAAGATGGAAACATCTGTTCAAATAATCTGGAGGTAGCAAATACCCTGGCAAATTTTTTCTTTTCCTCCTACACTGCAGAATTAAACACACATATGCCGAAAATATCAACATCGAAAAATAACTCGTCTCTGGCTACTATAGACTTTAGCATTGAAAATGTAAAAAAACATCTTGAGCTATTAAAGAACAACAAAGCCCCCGGACCAGATAATTTCAACTCAAACTTCCTTAAACAATTCTCTGATCAACTAAGTGTTCCATTATCAAAAATTATGCAAACATCATTTGATACATCTGAATTACCAGCTATGTGGAAAACAGCTCTAGTAACCCCTATTTTTAAAAAGGGCGATAAGTTGGATGCCAATAATTATAGACCTGTAATTTTAGTTGTTATTGCTGCAAAAGTCATGGAATCAATAATTGTTGAAAAACTGACACCTTTTTTGTTGGAAAAAAGAGTACTACCGGACTGTCAACACGGTTTTCTTCCAAAAAGTTCTACCATAACGAACTTGTTACATTGTGTAAATGACTGGACCCTCAATAAAGACAAAAACAGTCCGACCGACATAATCTACTTGGATTTCTCGAAAGCGTTTGACAGAGTTCCCCATACTAGATTAGCTTTCAAATTAGAACACATGGGTATTACAGGAAAACTACATGCTTGGATTTGCAGATTTCTAAGAAACCGCAGATTTTGTGTTAAAATTGGTGAAGAGGTGTCTGATTTCCTTCCTGTTATTAGTGGTGTACCCCAAGGGTCAGTTTTGGGCCCGATTTTTTTTCTCTTGTACACGGCGGACCCATGTTAAGGTCAAAATGTTCATTTTTCGCTGATGACGCAAAGTTGTATGGAAACCCAACTACCAGCCAGGATATCCTACAAAATGACTTAATACAAATTGAGCACTGGTGCAACAACTGGCAACTACCACTTAATATCGACAAGTGTGTTATTATGCATATAGGGAAAACAAATCCAAAGCTGACTTACCACATTAACCATAATGCTTTAAAAACAGTGGAATCTCACCTTGATTTAGGAGTATGGATAAGCAGCGATTTAACATGGTCTAAACACATTGAATCCTCCTGCAGAAAAGCAAACGCACTAATAAGTATGATAAACAAAATTTTCACTAAACCTAACCCACAAACTGCATGCCAAATCTATAAAACATATATACGACCAATATTAGAATATGCAGGGCCTGTCTGGTCTCCGATTCTTCAGCGTTATAAAAACTTATTGGAATCCATACAACGAAAATCCACAAGGCTCCCATACGGATTCAACAGACCTTCGTATGAAGAAAGGATGCGCGTAATGGGGTTAACGTCATTTGAAGAGAGAAGGCTGCGAGGAGATCTTATTATAATTTGGCGAATAATCCACAATCAGTTTGGAATTGACTTTAATCTTGACAATCGGCTTCGTGGACACAGGTTCAAGTTATCTAAAGAACGTTTCTGTACGAAGACAAGGGAAACATTTGTTACTAATCGTGTGTTTGAACATTGGAACAGTTTACCAAATGAAACAGTGTGTACTAAAACTGTGAATCAATTTAAGAACAGTTATGACAGGTTTAGATATTAGTTTTTATACCTTAATTAATTTACTTTTCTTTTTATTTCCTCTTTTTTGTAAATATCATTCTGTTATTATAAATTGTATTCATGTATGCATTTAAGATTTGAGTTTATAGGATTTTATCCTCTACTCTGTAAGTGATAATAATAATAATAATGAATGTTTTTTTCTTCAAGGTAAACTTGTTTTCTATTTATTTTTGATAACTGCTTAAATTCCACCATTGGTTTTAAGAGATAATGATTTGTTTGCACTCCATTAGTAATTGCAATTTCTTTTGGATGAAAAAGCCATTTTTCAGCTTCTTTGGAGAATAAATTAAACCCTTGAATATTTATGGACACAACTTTCATATTGTACGGACCAATTAAAACTAAAATGTTATAAAAAATTTTATAAAAAAAATTATGATAAATTGCGAACTATTTCACTGAGTGGGAGGTGCTCTATAATGACATCATGTATAATCATACAATATGCTTTTGTGTTATCGGGAAAACCTTTTTTCGCTTCAATATCAATTTTTATATCAACTGTACTTGATTTTAAGGATTCATTTCTTCTAGAACAATCAATTACAAAAAGGGCATGATTCTTAAATTGTGTATAACACTGTGCGACAAATTTTGACCTTACAATTTGAACTGAGATGAAATGTGGAAAAATCGAATCTATGCAACCCCCAAAACTAATCTTTAAAGGGGTTTTGCTAGTTTAGCTCGAATAATGGAGATATATAAAAGCCCCTAGAACTTAAAAAATATGAATTTTATAGAAAAATGCTCGGACACGTCGATTTTTATTTTATATGACGCAATTTTCAGTTGATTTTGAAATTTTTATTTTTTCACAGATTCACCCCCAGCCACCCCACTTTTTTTAAAGGAAACCGACCCTTTGTTATACCTTAAATAACAGGTAATGTACTCTCTAAAAATGAATTAGTCAAAATTAACTAATTTAATAGTTAATAGTGGCTGCTTTTTCACTTGTGCCATGGTTAACCATGGAATACCATGGCATCCCAAAATTTAACAGCCAATTCTTATGTAAAATTTTCCCCTGAATCAGAAAATACCGTCAAAATTTAAAAAAAGTAAAACAGTTTTTAAGATATAGTCAATTCCATATTAAATGGAAAATTGACTATATCTCAAAAACTGTTCCACTTTTTTAACTTGTGACGACTTTTTTGGTATAACAAAGGGTCGGTTTTCTTAAAAAAAAAAAAGTGGGGTGGCTGGGGTTGAATCTGTGAAAAAATAAAAATATCAAAATCAACTGAAAATTGCGTCATATAAAATAAAAATCGACGTGTCCGAGCATTTTTCTATAAAATTCATATTTTTTAAGTTCTAGGGGCTTTTATATATCTCCATTATTCGAGCTAAACTGGTAAAACCCCTTAAAGGATTTGTTTTGGGGGTTGCCTAGATTCGATTTTTTCAGATTTGATCCCAGTTCATTTTTTGTGTTGCACAGTGTAATTAAGTAAAGGGCGTTTTGATATTGTAAAATCATTTTTAAAACTAGAATAAAATTGTGTATAATTATGGTGAGCCTCAATAAAATTATTTTTTTCAAAATCGAGATTAATTCGCTCTGGGGGGTAATACTCCCCATTTATAATAACACGGATATCTGATATGTCAATGTTATCAAAATATGATGGATCTTTTGTAACATTACTTCTTCTATTAGTATGAAAAGCTAAAATTATAAAGCGCGGACTTCTAATGCGGTACACGTTTTAACTGACCATATTTCCTTAGTTGTATCCTTAGTTAATTGTGGTAGCTCATGGAATTCCCATTTTCTAAATGGAATTACTATGGGTCTGTCTGATTTTATTGATTCCAACAACTGAAGCTTTAATAAATCATTGGGTGTAATAACTTGTACTTTTAACGAGATATTTTCAACGGTTAATTTAGCCTTTGTTGTGCCAGCAGCCGCAGTTTTTTCTGTTATAATTTGACAATCAGAGTAATTTCGAGCTCTTACAAGACGGAAACTTGTTTACCAAATTGGGCTAGCTGATAATCATTAAATATACCAAATAAATGATGTAATACTAATACAAATATAAAAGTGTGGGATAGTAATTATGATATTTTTGTAAACTTGCACTCTTCTTATGGGTAGTTTTTTAAACCAAATCTTTATGTTGCAGTAATTAATATTTTAATCAATAATCAACTCAGAACAATATTATTGTTACTTTCCATTATGCATTATTAAATAATAACGGAAGGCCACTTATCTGTGGTTCTCCCGTAAAAGACATGGATGATGTTTTTGATATGCCTATAAAATCTTCTTATTTAAACATTTTTAAATCAAACCGAGTAGAACATAATCATTCAAATTTATATTCAATCTCTGAAATTAAGAGTAAAGTGGTCGCTATAGAATATAAAGAAACAACTGTATTTTTTCCTTTATTACATAGTTTAAAAAAAATTAAATAAAAATGAAGTATTAAACATTTTATTAACTTAACACGCCTCATACATACTACTTGGACGGAGTATAATAGGTACTTTTTGTTTTGTTTTTATAATATTATATTATGTGTATGTAATATAAAAACTAAGTAAACTTTATTAAGTAAAAATAAAACAATATTTTCTTCTTTGGCATCGTAGGTATATATGTACCTACTGGCCCATTGGTCGCATTCCTATAAAATAAAACAATTAATTTAGCTTTTATATGCATATATGGAAATATAAATTACCTTTTATATGGAGTTATTTTGCTCTTCCATCTCGTTATCTTCATCTAAAAATGCTTCTTCAGCAATATTATTTTTATCAGTTTCTTTCGTTTCATTTTCTTTTGATTCATTTTGGGCATGTTTTTTGGACCTTTTTTTAATAGCTGATGTTCTTAACAAATCGCTTTTGCTTCTTCTGGTCGAGTTTCTTATTACATTTTTAAAAAAATCCTCGCAGTTTTTATGAGTAAAACTGTTGTCTGACAAATGTACGACATTGAAGAAAAGTAAAATAACGTTTTTATACATTTTAAATGCCACCTTTTCTTTTTATCCTCTTACGCCACCAGCCCACGAGCATAAAGTCATAAATTTTCTGGAGAACATCCTATCAACTAATATGTAACAGTTATTAATTCCATGGCCGTCACCTTTTTTTCCACAAACGTAACTAAGTCTATATTTTACCTCATTAAATCTTTGTCTTTTAATTTATTTTCAAATGCATCCAAATGTTCCACTATTTCAATGGGATCTATGGAAACATCCTCGACAACCGGAGAAGATTTTTTACAAGTGTAATTATTACTGCTGTTAATATTTGACATCTTTTCTGCAATGGCATCTCCCATGGCCTCCAATTTCGATAATTGCTGCAAGATTTTTAATTGGCTTTCAGTGGTTCCAAGATTTTGCAAATATTCATTCGTAGTGTTTTGGTTTTTATAATTATTTCTTGGTTTTTGATAATGGTTGATAATTTATTATCTAACGTGCTAGTACACTGTTCAAAATTTCATGACAATTAATAATTATTTCTTGGTTTTTGATAATGGTTGATAATTTATTATCTAACGTGCTAGTACACTGTTCAAAATTTCATGACCATTTTAACACCAAATTAACACCATACATGGTCTATATCGATACAAACCAAAATAGTGTTAAATGTGGTCCGTTGGCCCGGTGTTAATTCAAATACTAAAATGGTGTTAATTTAACTTTCACACAGTATTAAAATAGATTTTACCTGGTGTAAATTGAACTCCTTTTCAGTGTTAAATATAATGTGTTTGTTCCTTGACGCATTACTAGTATATTACCAGTGGTATTATTCCACAAAATGGAACCTTCAACTCGGTAGAGTTTTAGTGCGTTCCACTAACTTAAAATACTTCAAGTATTGACAGCTGTTTCCACCTATTTAAGGTCACTTTAGTATCGAACAACTTGTAGTTTCACACCAAAGCAAAGGATCACATGAGTTTATATATTCTTCATGTAAGTCAACAGAGGCGAGATTTAAAAACATCACGTGATCCACACCGCCTTTGCCGCGATCGGTACACATTTTCAACCATAATTCATGGTGTTATTTTAACACCACTTGGTGTTAGATTTTGACACCATTTTAAGATTACTTTTTACACCACAGATATTTTAAACAGGTAGGTAATATTTCATTCGTAGCAGTTGAACTGGATGATTGTTCTATCATAAAATTATCGTTTATTTTCTCTGCATTTAAATAAATAATATTTTGTGGAGAACTATCGGCAACTAAAATATTATCTGAGATGTACTGGATTGTATTAGATGTCGTTGCTAGTTGCTCTGAATCCTATAAGATAAACATGGGAATATAAAATGGGATATATCCCATGCATATATGCACTGTATATCTGGAAAAAAAACTTACCATGGAAACAGCCTTCATAGCAATTTCATTAAAATCATATCCTGTGTTTTTCTTTGGCAGCATAACTCTAGCACGTTTTTTTTCGCGGGACTACCTCTTGTTCCTCTGACTCAGTCGAATCCTCTTTATTAAGCATAGCACATAATTCTAGTTCGGCACTTTCGTATGTTTCTAGTTCTTTTCTTTTTAATTTACAACCCATTTGGAACCAAGAATCTTCAGGAATAGAGGTTCCTATTTTAAGTTTTTCCGTCTTCATTTTGGGCCAAAAAAGCACCCCTCCTTTCTCCCATTCCCTGGGGAACTACAGTTAGTTGCTTGGAACCTCTTTCTATTGTCTCGACTATTTTATACATTTTTACTTATTTATCAAAACAATGCCACACAATTAAGAAATTTAAATAACTTTAGAGGTTATGTTTACAAATATTGTATAATTGGGCAAAATGAAACGTTAAATCACATATAGTTCTAAAAAAGTTGCCATAAATTACAGCAACAGAACTTAATTTTTTAATAAAGGTTCTTTTATTGCATCATTATAAGACATCAAAATGACCTATCCCGCCAATCAACGTATTTCTATAAAATATCTGTCATTCGATGTACAGCGTTGCCACTTCGATATTAATAATAACTTGGCTGATACTGTTATTGTAATAGTATATTACAATACGAGACGGAAAGTGTCGAGATAAACTAAACACATAACTGTGAACTAAATCACGAGACAGGAATAAAATTTTCGTCGAGTATTGCATACTATTTTATTTTTAACCATGTTTCTGTGGTGACAAACTTAGAATAAATAAATAAATAAAAACCGGTGATATTTATTAATTTAAGGTCTATAGGTATCCAGGAATATGCCTATGTGCAAACTCGGTTGCGTTCAAATGACATTTTTTTTTTTTTAAATATTGTGTTTTTGTGCACATAAAACAAGATTTTGTAAATAAATTTTGATTGTTAGTGGCTTTATATAGGTTGAGAAGGTAAGTTTATTGAAGTTTTATTTAAGTAGCTTAAATATTATATGAAAGAAATAGTAGCTTAAATATTAGATGAAAGAAACTGCAACTGTTACCTTTCCGGCCTAGGCAGGAAAAGTGACAGTTTTGCCTTCCTAGGCAGGAAAAGTGACACTTTCTCGATTTTAAAAAGACAGCAATGTCAATATTACATACATGGTTGAAAATAAAAGTGCTTTTCAGAGGGGAGTATGGGATCTCCGAAACGGGAAGAACCAAGTAAAAATCGCTGAAAATGGTCAGATTAATATCAATCCTTATAAAATAAGAATATAAATTTCTGAATATTAAATACCTAATTGGTCAACCTTATGTTTGAGGTAATACCGTTATATATGACAACACTGTGAATCTTAAATGGCATGTTGTTTTCTAGTAGAGTCAAGTGGGACCAAAAAAATTTCACGAAATCACCGATTTTGAAAATAATCACATAATTGTGTAGAGGACATGACTCATATGTCACAGTAAAAAAAATGTTTTGAAATTCAGTTTTTTGTTTGTTATTTAAGTTCATAATTTTGTCACACTTAAGAGCACGGTAAAATTGAAAAAATTGAATCTCTTGGACCACTCTGTATAATTAAATTAAATTTTACACACTATTGTAGCAATGTTTAGACTAAAGAATTGTAATTTAATTAAGGTAAATTTGTTTACATACAAGAATTTTGCATACATTTATTATAAACAATTTAAATTTTTTATGTGTTCTTTACGCTGAAAAAAATTAAGCTTGTGTCATAATATGCAGCAAACATTCCCGTTTAATAAAATCTACTCAAAAATTTGACTTTTTCAGTAATGCTGATACGTTTGTCCCTGGTCACACACAGTACATTTTACTTTAAGGCCTATTGAAAACAAACTTTTGATGACTTCACTAATTAAAAGTTGTAAATCATTTGCGCTGATAGTGTTTTTTGTGAAATAGTAAGCAATTGCCTGTTTTCATTTTTTCTGAGACCTTGAGCCATAAAAACCAAGGCATCGTCAGCAAAAGTATTATTTTTACCCAATGTGCCTTTATCAACAAAGCCAACAAATCTGTCTTTTGATTTATCATATGACAAACCCTTAGACAGAGATATTTCGTCCCATGTCAAAGAACACCATTTGTCTAAGGGACTCAATGATCTCACAAGGTCCTTGAGTCGCTTTAAATAAAAGTTATTAAGCCCTGCTTCAAAAGGCACATTTTTTAAAATCTTTTGAATTGTGGTTTTTGAAAGCAATCTTACAAATTTTCGTAAAAAATTATAGCTTCTAAGTCCTTTTTTAAATAATTCCAGAGCAAAAATTTTGTTTTCAATAGACCAAACCGGTTTAGTTCTCCTCATATTTTTGAATTGTGATTTAATGAATTTCACCCCAGCTGAATCCAAGTTTTCTGATAAATTTTTGAACAGTTCGGTGTCACTAAAATTGTAAATATCTTTAATATGATCATTTAAAGATTTTAGTTTGGATTTTAATTGGCACACTTAGGCCCTTTCTTTATGGTAGGATTGATATAGTTTTTTTCCTTGATGTAAAATCACATATTTTGTCATTTGAAAATAAATGTCTCTTTTTTTTAATTTTAATGATTTAGTGTCTTGATGGGAGGTGGATTGAGATGTGGATATGTTTGTTATAACGGCGTCAAAATTCTGACTGTGGTTTGATGAATCAGTGACTTGATATGGATTGGTTTGAGCTATTGTTATATTATCAAAGTCTATCAGAGAATTGTGGTCATTGGAACTTGGTGGAAAAATAATGGTGGAATTTTCTCTACAAAATTTTGATAGAATTGCTACCTTTGTAAGTCTTGTGTGAGGGGAATTGGTAAAACATGGATCAGTAAAATGATCTTCACAAAGGTAATTTCTTGTGGTCGTATAATCTACTTTATTTAAAAGGTTTTCATTCATTTTACTGAACTATGTTTTACGACGATCCTCTATAGTTGGAAATTTAAAAAAATGTTTTTTAAACTTAACATAATAGATGTTTTTGCAAGGAGGGTATCGACACTGATATCTTGCAATATATGTCATTTTGCCAGATGTTAAATTTACTAAAACCTTTACTTACAAACTACATTTCAGTTTTTGCCTGGTTTAACCAGATTTGTCAGTTCTATGATGTAAGGAACATCATGGTCAGTTCTTTGGTTCATTGGTTTATTTTAGGTTTTTTTAGTTAGACATGAACGTGGTCCCTAAAAAGATTTTTAATTAGATTTAAAATAAACTTCGTACTAGATTTAAAAAAAACTTCGTACCAATAATTTCTTACTAATTTATGTGAAAACTGCCAGGGTCCACCAAAAACCCAAAACTGGGGTAATATGCTACCTTAAAGAATTCTTCTGACATTTGTTGCCACTATAGACAAAGAACCACCCAATTGTGCTTGTTCTGTGTGCTTGCAACAATGTATATAAATAACTAAAATGTTAAACAAATTAATAAAGAGCAATAGTTGTAGAATATATATTTTACAAACTTCAAAATCGTTCTTCCATTTAACAGCTTTTTTTAACTTTACCATCTAAAATCGTTCTTCCGTTCCCAACAGCTTTACTTTTATATTTAATGAAAGCGAAACTTTTTTAATATTAAATGTACTAATTTTGTTCTGTTTTTATTACCTAACAATAAATTTTGTTGTTTTTGACAATAAGTTTTGTTGTTTATGTCCGACATATTCTAGTTATTTTAAGTTGTCACTCTGAAATCACGTTGGTACACCAGATGCGTAGAAGACACATTTACATAGAAACGCATACAGCCACGCGCATCTGACTTGTTAATAGAAAATCTTTCTCCTTTGTCTCTGGACTGTATGCTGTTAATGACAATTGATAAAAATTTTGTTGGCATATAGCAGTGACAAGAAAATTAATTTGTCCTCGTTAATTTTAATAAACACCTTGTGCACGTTTAAATATTAAAACTTTTGTTTGCAGGAAAATATTTATTATCAATAAAACAAAAAGTTTTGGATTTTGACAAATATATATTTTATTGTAAAATACGTACAACAAAAGAAAAAAACGGTATGGATTTTATTTAAATTTATAAAATATAGGTATAAAAATAATAAAAAAATCATAACAGTATGGGATACAAAGTTGGTAAATTAAAAATTGCAAGGCATATATTTGCATATTTTTTTAGGCAGCACAATCCTTCTTCTTTTATATTTAGAATGCGCCCTATGTTCATGCGCATTTCTTGAGAAATGCCAAAACGACGTTTCAACTCTGGCGTAATCAACTGCTGTAACGTTACAAATAGTAACGCTACATGTTTTAGTATAGAAAAGATAAGTTAGGCACACATGAGGAATTATTTTGTTTATTACTCACACATTCGTTCATACTGTATATTGCATATATCGTTCATGTAAAATTCATATGTTTATTAGTTTCGTATTTCTTGTAAGTGTCTTCTGGTCACTGTTATATTTAGTTTTCTTTATTTTTATGTGTCTTTTGGTCACCGACTTTGGGTTGGTGTTTAGCTAAAAGAGCAGACTCGGTTAGTTTATTCCTTATTAAATTATGTTTAGTTTGTGCAGGTCTAGGGGGTATTTTACCTTTTAGTGCCTGTTGATTTATTTGGGTCAGATCTATCTTGTTGGGATTTGTAGATTATTTAAGTTGATTTCGTGTGTGTGACTTGTCAATGTAAATTCTTTCTTCTAAAATGGTTATAGGTTAGGTTATTAAATATGAAAGGGGTTTAGATTAGATTTAGAGGATAAGTAGTTTTTTAGCTTATTTGTGCCGTGTTTTTTATTAATGTTACTCACTTATAGTAATTGTTTTCGGGTCGTTGCAGTTTGAACGATAAATTTCTTCATTTGTTTTGTTGACATTTGGTAATACGCCTTGCAGTACTTCGTGGTAATCTTGGTTGCATATCGACATGTCGATATGCAACCAAGATTACCAATTTCATATTTGTAAAATTTGAAAATTAGAAACTATAGTTTCTAATTTTCAAATTTTACAAATATGAAATTGCACGGAGTATGCGC